CATGATGTAGGGTTGAACAGCAATCTTTAGTTTTATCTCGTAAGTGTTCAGGACCACTGTTTGGAGGGGGGGGGGGGGTTGTTATCATCTAAAATATAAGTGCATTTTGTTGTTTTCAATAAATCAGTTGTGAGTTTGCGCCCATGGTGCCTGCCTCTTCTCGTCTATGTGTATGTTGCGCAAAAAATAGCCACGCTGCACGAGTATTGCAGCTCGGATTGTGGCATCTATGGCCTCCTGTGATGCTACGCCTTGCCACGAGCATGCACTGCGGGTCGCGGAGAAGATCGGCTGCAGTATTCTTACGCTGGTGCCAGCTGTCAGCGCAGCAGCAATCGTGACCTGGCTAATTAATGGTTGCAGTTGTGCCGAGCACTGCAGTTCGAGTACAATTGGCAGGCTATGTGTTGTCGTGTAGCACGAAACATGGGCTTCCTTGTCGCGGCGCTTATTTAGTCGATGTGCATAGGCTTCTCGCCATGCTTGTGGAAACCAAGACGTGCACTAAATGTAGCTATGCGTAAACCAATGGTATTGTCTTTTCCCAACGCAAGCGAAACCGAGATATCATTCGACAAATTTGGTTTAACCGCGGTCATCGACCACGTTTTCTTTTTGGTGCTCACATGACACCGAATAGACAAGATGGACGAAGTAGATGGACGAAGTAGATGTACAGCACGTGCACTCACCCACTTTACTCTCTCTCTTGGCCATACTTTTCGATTCTCACACGACCAAGTGTAGAATCGGGGCTTGCCTCGACATATTGATTCAACAATAACGTTTTGTAGTGTTTATATTGCCGGCTGCCGACAGATTATATCAGTCGATCGAATGCCGGCAGTTCTTTCTATAGGTGGGTTGCAAGGAGTTGCAAGTAACGAGATTAGGTTAGGTTAGTTTCACGTCACAAACAAACGATGTTTTTCACGCCACTGCCAGAGGCTATCGGCAAACGCTTTGAGGCCGGGTCGACTCCATCGACTTACCTTGGCAACAGATGGAAAGCTCAGGGTCCTTGACTGTCATTGACAATGTTGATCAGTGTTGCTAAATGTCGGAGAGCAAAATAGCTAAATGGTGGCTTAAAAGCTAAAAATACAGCAGGACGCTAATAAGTCGCTGGTTTCTGGTGCGCTTATGCCAGCTGCCTGGCACTACACGTGCAGCCCCTATTCGTCGGCACATGTATCGCCAGCATGATAGGCTCACCAGAAACGGGTGGTAGAAAAGTCACACGGTCATAGCTAGAAAATAGGAAAAAAACTGCCAACAACTTTTTTCCAGAATAATATGCCGGCTGCCGGCACTATAGGCGTGGCCTAAACGTTTATTTGTGATCGTCACGACATCGAAACCTATAGATATATCCAAGGCTTCCGCCTAAGGTTTGCGGCCGCTTCAAGTGAGCCCACCACTACTTAGAAACTATTTGTAAATGTTGATCGTATTTTATTGGCCAAAGTGGTAATACAACGAACAATAACTATCAAGAACGAAAGTTATTTTGCGTACTGTCACACGCTATAGAACTAAAAAAAAAAGTCTCGTGTACCAGGCGTGTATGAACAGTTTTTACAGCTCGCGAGCTGACGATGAGAATTAATTTGCGAATCAAAGAAATCTCATTCATGAGAGCAGTATATAGGTGGCAAACAAGGCATGCGAAGGAAAGTGTTCCGGCTGCGTCAACGAAACACAGCTGACTGAGACAAGAGACAAAAATAAAGCGAGAACACTTTCTAAGTTGTTAATTTCACGCACTTCAACAATTGCCCCGCCGCGGTGGTCTATAATTAAGGTACTCGTCTGACCCGCAGGTCACGGGATCGAATCCCGGCTGCGGCTGCTGCATTTCCGATGGATGCGGAAATGTTGTAGGCCCGTGTGCTCAGACTCGGGTGCCCGTTAAAGAACCCCAGGTGGTCGAAATTTCCGGAGCCCTCCACTATACGGCGTCTCTCATAATCATATAGTGGTTTTGGGACGTGAAACCACACATATCAGTGAATCAATCACTTCAAAAATTAGGCCAACTGGAACATTCTTTTTTGCGGGTTGGCTAGCAGGAACTTGAGGTTTCCAGCAATAATTTCTTTTATAACGGCATGAAGTTACAATAAATAGAAATAAAAAAGTCAGCGAGAGGGACACGCTTCCCAACACCGCTGACGTAGAGTGCAATCAGTGGAACGTCTAAAACCCGGGAGTGCCTGCGCCGGAGTAGCGTAAATGTTTAAGCACGCAAAAGTGAAGCTGCTGCGATATCGCTAGGATGGCTATCCACTTTCCGTTCGCGCCATTCATTTAGTGGTCACGTTCAAGCAACGATTCTCAAAGGGTGCGCTGAACACGTAGCCTAAATATGTTTGCTCCGATGAAGATTTACTCTATTGATTGAGACTTCGAGGTAGCTTGCGTAAGAGTCGAGTAAGTTCTTGCTTGAATTCTCCTCTTCTTCATACTCTCTCTGTATAGATATTCACTTACATAATAAGTGTTAGGGTTCCACGTCCCACAACGGTGCTATGATTATGAAGACGTTGCAGTGGAGGACCCTTGAAATTTCCCCACCCGGTTTTCTTTGACCTGCACCAAAATCTAGCGCACGGGCCTTAAGGATTTCGCGTCCATCAAAAGGCGGCCACCGCGGCTGGGACTCGACCACACGATCTTACGGTCAGCTCGATAACCGATAAACTACCGCGGCGGGCAAGGTTCTTCCGGGGCAGTGGAAGTAGAACCTGACCACTATACGCATTGGTGCCTCTTAGGTGCGAATATATGTTGTTTGAGAAAATTATTACGGTCCATGTGCCGACGCGTGTATTATTGCGCGGCAAAACCGCCCAACTGCACCAAGATTCACACCATGAGAGTGTCGCAACGCGTTCGTCGTCTGAAGTCTCACCCATTACACAGTGCTCCGACACAGTCATAAACATCAGCAAGAGCATCGGCAAGGTGCGCATCTGCACCTGTTGCGTTACGGACACGCGTAGCGGGTGCTTCATGGATTCCCAGTGTGGTGAGCTGTAGTAATCGCTTCGCAGCTGCGTTTACAGTAGGCATGCATTCGAGGAGAGTTCCAAACGAGCAATGTCGAGCACACAGATGTTCCTTTCCTCTTCTCACGGTTGTGTTGGCCACTGAGAAGTGAGATATGGCAAGCGAACGAGAAGAGCATGCGAACGAGCCATATATCTTGAAGGCAAAACTTAATTATTCTCAACTGTTTTTTTTTATGTCAGCAACAAAATATGTCTCACAATGCTTCGTGCATCGGTACCATATCACCCAGTAGTACATCGCTCACATGCAACAAGGTAATAAAACCGCGAAGCATTCAGGCGCCCTACGTGCCTAAACCAAGTCATGCTTACGATAATGATAATTTCTAGGGTCTTACGTGCAAAAACCACGATATGATTATGAAGCGTACAGTAGTGTAGAACTCCTGATTATTTTCGACCACATAGAATTCTTTACCGTGCACCTAAATCTAATCACACGGGGGTTATTTGCATTTCGACCTTGCCGAAATGCGGCCGCCGGAACCAGCGATTGAGCTCGCCGCCTCGAGCTTGGCAGCATCGCACATTACATGCACGCATACCAAGCTACTACGGCGGGTTTCGTGCTTATGAGGCCCACCACTCAAAACATGGTATCCTGATTGCTGTTAGTATGCTTTTCTATCAAGGAGACCTAAAGACGTAAACAAGCTTATCACAGCGGCAGAAATTGGTTTAGAAGATCCTACGTCGCAGCGAAAAAAGAAACTGAAAAAATAAAGGTGCAGCTTCACTGCGTTCTTCCCACGGGTCTTCGTTTCGTGCATCGCTTGTGGTGGTCAGCCTTGACATTCCCAGCTGCCGAGTGTATTCCGAGTCGCGAGAACGTCGCCCTTCACGAGGACAGTGGTTGACAGCGCATACGAAGCCAGGGGACAACAGCAGCAAACAGCGAGGGTCAGCCCAAGACAGGTGCACTCGGCACTACACAGAGTCGCACGAGCGCTCCCTGCGCCGGCATCCGACGACGTCTCCGACTTGCCGACATCGCCACGTTTTTCTGTTGACGCCTGGATGGATGGCTGGTTTCCGCAGCCAGCACACTATTCTAAGGAACGCCAGGCTCCACTGGTCACGGAGCCGTCTTCCTGATCTCGGCTGCTTCACTTATTTTCTCTCGGACTCTCTCTGAGCCACCGTTTTGCCTTTAAACGGCTGGGTAAAGAAAGGAGAGGAGGTTGGGAAAGGGGGCTCACTATCGCCATGACTCAGGAAAGCGTCGCCGTTGAGCGTATACCTATAAAGGAGCGAACTGCGGCACCAATGGCAGTTCACATTTGAAGCAATTTGAAGGTGGTAGACTTTTGGTTGCTCTTAATAGGTGAGTGATCACGTGACTGCTTACGTTATAATGCCTTTATTCGCTTTCCAGTGCCCTCAGTTGTTGTTTGGTCAAGTGTGAAGTGTTCCAGACGTCACCAGCGAGTGTTTCACTTTTATATAGAAGGCAGCATGATGCTACTGAAAATGGTTCATCTGTGATTTTAATTTCGGAGGGGTAGTTACTAAATATAACGAAAGGGGGGAATTTAACAGGTAGATCCTTTCGGAAAACTCAGGAGGAGGGATGAAAGCCGTGAACACCCTGACCACCACAGACGTAGGGGCATGTGGAAGGGGGGGGGGGGGGGGGTTAGTGCAATCTACAATGATTTTCAGGTAATAGTAGCTAAGTGATCGCGTATTCAGTGTTGCAGATATAATGATAGACCAGCTATTTTACGGACAGAGAGATCGTACAACGTTTATGAGTGCGGTAGGGGCTAAGTCGCAATTTCAAATTATCAAAGTACTTGCAAAGTTTGAGGTGTTCGAGGTGGGCAAAGTTCACTTGCCCAGGAACAAGTTGCCGACGACCGATTGAAGTGTGTGAAACAACGCAGCGGCTCCGTGCATAAACGACGCGGAATGCGTGCTGGCACGATGCCCGGGTGGCTGTGGTACCTGGAAGCTGCGTCGTTGGTCGTGCTGAGCTTCATGGTCCGGCCCACCGAACAGGGAAAGCTGTTGAAGATTGCCTTGGCCGCATCTGCTCTGGGTGGCCGTCACAGGTTCAGCATGATACCCATCCCTATACCCATCCACCAGGAGCACAAGCAGTACTACCCGGTCCATTACCCTGTTCCCGTGCCGTGAGTTCAGAACACGTATAACTCTTATACCTACCTGTCAAAAACCGTGGTCAGTCCGTATTTTAGCGCTTATATGTCAAATGAACTTGTCCAATAACATTAACAATCTATTTCTACCTTCTGCTTTCACAATTAAAAGGTCTGATTGAAGGCTCAAGGGTCTGGCTCAAGGTTTGTAGAAATGGTGCGGAACTTCACGTAAGCATCCAAAGACACGGTTTATTGACTGATACTGATCCCGTGTCCGTAAAACAACGTAGTTAATTTGCAGTATTTGCGCTGCCTTGTTGCAGCACGAGTACATATACTCTAACACACGATAAAACGTGTTTTAAAGGTACGTTTTCGGGAAATGTCTGTTGGGACCTAAGAAAGAACGAAGATGAAGTGAAGGGGCTGGCCCACAACGCACGTGTTCTTCTTGTTTCCTAGGTCCCAACACGCTCTGAGTTTTTGTTGTCGTTTGCTATAGGATCGCCTACAAAGCGAACATAGGGAGGAACTGTGGTGAAAGAGAAAGCTACTTTTTAAAAGGAAGATGACAATACTGTACACATTGAAGTATGACCTCATCTTTGAACTGTCTTCAGTCACGTGCATCAGCGACTTAATCTAACCGACTTGGCCAGAGAGAGAGAGAGATAACAATTGAGGATGAAATACGAAGCGCGGCAAATGCACGGTGGTGCGTTGACATGTTTGGACTGTAGTGAAAACAGCGCTGATGTTTTGAGCCTCAATGCAAGAAGAGGTGTGAGTTTCTGGAAGCCTTCGATGAGAATCCACCTCTTAACTGTTTAAGTATACTGTTACCTGGTGCACGAGGAGCATAACAAATTGAGCAATATTCACCTCCACCTAAAATCCGTTGCATTAAACCGAGGAGCTACCCGACTATTATATTGTAGTTCCAGAACCTTCAGCCGCTATTTAGTAAGCTCGAGTTGAATAAGTGTTAGGTACAGGAGAAATGCGTTACATTACGTGGGAGCTAAGGCACCGGTGGGATCGGCTACAAGGTGATCAACAACGCCGTCAGTGGTGGTGCAGGCCTCGCATTTCTATGGTGTATGTGCGTGGTGAGACCGAAGACTGAATGATCGATCGATTGATTGGTTGATTGATTGATTGATTGAAATAACTTCATTGAGGTCCTGCGGGACACGCCCTGGCATGCAAGCTGTCAGGAAAGTGCGCGAAGGGCTGGAAAGAGCGTCTTGCTCGTGGGGTGTTTGTTCTTAAAGATGTTCGGTTTCTCCTGACGAGGCACGCCCCAGTGGTGCACAGTGGTTAGAGCGTCGGTATTCAGCACTGTAGACTCAAAGCCCAAATGCCATCCGAAACGAGTTTGTTTATGTTTATTTATTTACTTACAAGCGCCACTTCAGCGCCACCTCCCTTTCTGTCTGGCCTGCATTCGCAGCTGCGCACACGCTGCAGGTTATATGCAGACAGTTTCTTATTTTTTTTTCTGTTTTTCGTAGCCGAAGGTCTTATTCCTAGCGCCGAAGAAAGATTAACGAAAACAGTAAACGCTTGTCTGCTGGCAGCGTTTCTCTGGAGTGTGTCCTTGCAATGCGAGTTGTTGTTGCAAGCAGTTGCAGTGTGAGACCGTGCAAAGACTGCGCAATGGCACTACAGTACATACCAGGCTACTTTACCCGCTGCATGACGCAGTGTCCTGTTCTACACACTACACTATAATATGCTACGATACAATACTCTATATTTTCCACCCTGTCGATAAAATGTTGTGTGGACCTAATAAAGTTATTTCAGTGCCTCACTCCCAGCCTCCCGTAGTCTTTTCCGAACTTCATGTAAGCTAAGAAAAGAAAAGGGTAAGAAAGTGACAGAGACATAGCATCTGACACGTGCGCGTGCACTTTTCACTCTATGGTTTACAGGATTCTACACCATTTATTGGCTGCTCAGTGTACACGTGTGCTCCGGTAACTGCATAGCGCCGTGCTAGACAAAGAATCCTGCTAAACAACAAATGACCAGTAGAGAACAAGATTGTAGATCGAGGACTTATCTTCACGGCCTTTAAAAAGACACGGTTTATGTGGACGGCTCGACATTTTCCTCATTTTTAAAGTTCACTATCGGAGCTGTGTGAGCGCCCAACAGCAGTGATCTACTATTTATTTTTGTTTTCTGGAGCCTAATCTCTTCCGGGATGTTGCTTTCGGGCTCGAAGAGCCGAGAAAAGGAAGAAGAAAAATGTATATGTATAATACAGAGAAAGAGAGGCCGACAGCGTGTGTATAAAAATATATTAATCAAACAAAGAAACACAAAATAAGTAATGATGACCTTAGCAACCTTGTACCAACACCCATCCATTACAATGCCCCAACTTGATTCCTTTCATACAAGCTAGATTTGGAAAGAAGAGAACGGCAGATAAACGTGTTCGAAACACTTTCTCTGGAGCAGCCGATAATATAGTAACCAAGCGGCGTGCAGTTTATACGTTCGTAGCCGGTAGCATATAAAGACTCTCGTCCGCGAGCTCAAGGCATCGAAATAAACTAGAAATCGAGAAACTAAAGAAGAAAATTGCAAGAGGTCAATTCATCACGCAATGTTTTCACTATTGTGATGGATCTCTCACGCAGCGAAAGGCGGAAACGCAGAATCTCATCTCTGTAGGCTACGAAGCTTACAGTAGGCGGAAAGTATGTACACGCCTTTTTTTGCTCTCTTATTTTTTTTTTCAGAGCGTTGGCTCGAACACTGTGAGAGCATGTAATAACCACGCTGCTTGCTCTTCAAGTCATTTTTTAACCCTGCACGCGTAGCTTTCGAGTTTTTCTGTCGGTATATAGTCAGATTTTTATCATCTAAATACTTCGCGTCTTTCCCGCTTCACCATGGCGCTTACCTTCTATAGCGCATTATTTTTATTATAGCAAGTATACTGAACAGACTGTAGGTGTACGAATCAGAGTAAAAGGGTAACAGTGGGAATGAAAGCTTCTTGCCTTGGTCATCAAGGCCGGGTTAAGTAACGTTACTCTCAGACTGTTGCTCTTTTATTCTTTTTTTCACAGATTTTTTTAGATGTGTCATCGAAAAAAAAAATGTCTACCCCTCCTCTTTTTGGCTAACAGAACATAGCAAATATATACATGCCGGTTCGAAATACACTAACGAACAAACAAGTCAAGCATTGTATACGCCCATCACAGTATCACGAGTACCGTGAAAAAACAAGATACTATAGAGAAAAGAGGCTAAATGCACTGGTAATACGGACACGATGTTCGAAAGGACTTTGCAACCTAATTTTTCGAATATATTTTCGAACGATACCTTCGAATCGAAGGGAATCATAGAATGAGAAAAATACCTCCGAATCTATTTGACAAATTTATACTCGTATTCGCTATTGCTCTAAGACGCTGAAAAGTGGAATGTCAGTACGAAGTGGTAAAAGAAGCTGTGACAACATGAATGCATCTGGTCTTCTTTTTCGCTGACATTTAGATAGGATGACGTGGCGTAGCTGTGAAAGCGTCGCCAATTCCTAGATCTGTTGGCATTTTTTTTTTCTTACCAGAGAGCAAGACGATCAACGCGACTTTGCTTATCGTGCTTTATATTTTTCTTTTATTAAGGAGAAGATACACTAAAATTATAACTTTCGCAGGAAGAATAATCTGTCTTTATTACTATACTAAAAGCGTGTTTCCGTTTTCTTCGTGGCGACTGTAAAGCGTCGAATAAAAAACCACGGCATGGGCTTCAGCGCCGCAAAGAAGCTGCCACACATGCTTAAGTTCTTTGTTCATGCTTAATTGCCAATTACCCTGGGTGTATTGTGGCGGAAACAATTTTGATATTCACACTAGTTACACAATACGGTCGGCCCTGTCTGCATACTTTCGATTCAGTTGCTAACATCCACTCTTATGAAAAAGGTGGGTGACCTGATGTGACCTTTCGCATTGTTGATTAAATTAGACCACCGAAGAGACATGTGCTGTTTTATTTTTCGGGACGTCTACCAACCGTTCTTTATTCGCTTATTCTGTGCAGCGTTAATGAGTAAGCCGGAGCTATCCTCGACGTATTTCCACCATCGCCCACTATATGCCTTTGAAAGCACAGCTATTTACAATAAACCCTGAAAAGAACGTACACTTTAAGATAAAAGGGGGATTCTTCGCGGGTCTGTCCCAATAAAATAGGAATAAATATTTAAAAAATAGGAACAGGACAGAAGTAAATTCACGGAAAACGTGCAGTGATAGATGTATGTGCAGTAGAGAGATAGAAACAATTGATGGAATGACCCGGATCCAGCTGCTGCAGAAATTTACGCACTGAATTTCTTGTTTGCGGCTTAAAAAGAATCAAATCAATCAAACAGTTTATTATTCGCAACAAAAATAGATTGCAGTGGGTAATATTTATACAGTCGGGACCCCAGAACTCAGCACGAGTTGTGGGAGGGGTTCCTATGACAAATAATGTTATTTGAATCCGCGTACGAGGATTCTACATGTAGTTGTATACCGAACAAGATAAATCATTATACAATATGTAAAACGAAATTAGAAACTATGCAGTATAAAAAACGTGTAAAAATATCCTATACGTATAGGTGTATGCGAAACAAAAGAAATCGTTATACAGTGAGTAAAACTAACAGGTATCATTCGCGCGCTCAGTTAGCGACATATTGCTAGATAGAGTAAAAGCTAGAAAACTCGCACATCAAATATAACCACGCATGTGGCGTCTGGTATGTGCCAGGGTTCGACGTCTCATCGCGAGGCAATCGTGATGGGCGCGTTTCCCATACATCCCGCCAAAGTATTGACCAAAGCACGGGAACGAGCAGTGAATCAAAACGCTGCATCTACAATCCCACAAAGCGAGTTTATGGTTTCGTCTTAATCAGCGCAAAATGCGCCGAGGGAGGCCGCCGGCATTTTTGAGCTGGTATGGACTGACTATCGGGGCTTGGCAACCTTGTTCGACATTCTCAGCTGCGCTATGGTAGCATCGCCCCGGTTCTAGGGTCACATAGAGAAACGGCCTGTTCTCTTGCACTGCGCTGTAGGCTCAGCGGCGGATGATTAGAAGAAACGCGTTTTTTTCCGCCGGGGTGGCTTAGCTGCTCGGCTGCTAACCCGAAAGTCATGGGCTCGATCCTCGCCGCGGTAATCTCATTTCGATGGAGGTGAAATTCTAGAGACCCGTGTATTGCGCAATGTCAGGGAATGTTAAGGAGCAACCGATGGTCGAAATTTCCGAAGCACTTCCACTGCGGCGTCTGTGCACAATCGTTTCGTGGTTTGGGGACGCGTTTTATGCGGGTGCCTGGCTTTCGCTGTTCTATTTAACTGCCATAAAAGTTAATCCGAGCGCAAACACACGACACAGTCACTCACACACGCACACACCCAGGCATCAAACACACACAGCGCTCGGTGTGTGAAATGTTGTACCAACTGGCCCAACAATTTTTTTTTTACAACTGCCATAAAGAAGGGATTAAGAGCGCGTTGCACTAGACGACTTTTTTTTTAGCGTTTTGTTGAAACATTTGTCGCGAGAAAATCGTAAATGTACTCCTCAAGCCCTGTTCATCTGCACACAGTGAGTATTCCAACTCTGCGCACAAAACGGAAAAATGTTATGCACGAGATGAATGTGTTGAAAATGTTGCAATGAACTTACAATATACACGCGTGACACATTAAGCGTGTGTGATGCGCATAAGAAGAACGCATCATGGTCTTCAGAGTTGAAGTACGGTGAACGCATAGGTATGGATGTGTAGCAGATGCACGTGAAAGGACAAAAATGTGGATATATAGGACAGGAAATATGTCAATATTTTAATTTTAGTCAACTTTTTTCCCCAGGTATTTGCACAGCCAACAAATAATGTTGTCAAAGACACTGCCCGTCAGTATAGTTGTTGGCGGGTCCCTGGTTTTCTGCAAGAGAAGCACAACAAACACCTTCACATTTACAAGGATGGCTCGGTGTCTTCAGTAAGCTCTGCAGGGGCGGTGGTTATTCCCGCGAGGCACATCACAATTAAATTCATGATATCGCATTTGACGTCGTCGACAGCTGCAGAACTTGCAGCCATTCGCGCAGCTCTGGAGTTTATAGTGCAAGAACCTTCGGGAATTTTGTCGATCTTCTCGGACTCGAAGGTATCTCTTCAATGTCTTATATCACCCTTTCGCCTTGGACCTAATGAACAGTTAGTAGCTGAAATAAGGCTTCTTCATCACCAAGCAACCGAAAAACAGCACAGCATAGTGTATCAGTGGATACCAGGTCATTGCGGTATATATGGCAATGACCGCGCAGATGAGGCCACTAGATCTGCACACGATAGTACCCAATACACCGCCATCCCGTTCTCAAGAACCGACGCAGCTACAAGACTTCGTTCGCTTGCACGTGACCTCACACTGGTACAGTGGAACTCAACAGACTTCACAAACGCGCACATGCATAACTTGGATCCCGATCTGCAGCTTCGTCTTCCCCCAAGGATATCTCGAGCTGAGGAGACTCTTCTATGCCACCTGTGGCTTGGAGTGGCCTTCACGAACGCATACTCTTATCTCATTGGGATGGCCAGCTCTCCTACATGCACTTACTGCAGTTGCGAAGAAACCATCGCGCACCTTCTGTGTGAGTGCACCCATTTCAACGCGCAAAGACAAGAACTCACTGCAGCTCTGGATAGACTAGACGATCGGCCTTTGTTGGAACAAAGGATTCTGGGTCATTGGCCGAGCCCATCCTCAGCCCAGAAGGCTTTGAAAGCTTTGCTGCGCTTTTTGCGGACAACTGGCCTCAGAGACAGACTTTAGTGTCTTATACTCTTTGATGTTGCCTTTCCTCTGTCGCAATTTTTTTTGTAATTTCTCCCTCTCTTCGCAACATTTCTTTTTAACATCTTTCATTCCCCTCACCCCTTTTCCCCGCACAGGGTAGCCAGCCGGTCTAAGAACTGGCTAACCTCCCCGTCTTTCCGCTTAAACTTTCTTCCTCCTCCTTACTCCTCCTGGTCACAATCATTTTCAAATAATTTAACATTTCTCTAGGCCACGTGGACACTTTTCCTCTCACGGTGCACAATATTATTGCACTGGCCAACGCGAGCCGCTCTGAAGGCGTTTTTGCGGTTTGTTTGAGAAACCACATTTAATGGCCAGTAGTGAATGTTTACAGACAATGTTGATGTGCAGCATTTGTACATTTGTAGTCATGACATTGTTTTGTTTATTTTGTCGCCTATAGTGTCGTTACAGACGCTTCTTTTAGCTGGTTCCTTTTGCAACCAGTTTCTTCTTCCCCATCACGGGTGACGGAGATATACTCTGGTTAATCTCCCTATCTTTCCTTTAGGTGCTGCACCCTGCTCCCTAACGGGCTATAGAAATTAGGCGCTTTTTTCTTCTTCGAACCACAACCACCCCCTATTATTAAAGACGATTGTCTTGGGGACCTTCGACGAAAAAAATTTTGGTCTGTCTGTCTGTCTGTCTGTCTGTCTGTCTGTCTGTCTGTCTGTCTGTCTGTCTGTCTGTCTGTCTGTCTGTACATTTGTCTGTTTGTCTGCTCTAACGATACCTCAAACGGCACCGAACGGCCAACCCCATCCGCAGTGCCCAACAATATTGCTCAAGGTTTAGCGTTCATAATTGTGCGATTGTCTATCGAAAAAGCAAATATTGCGCATATCTGAGGCGCCATAACAGCATGTCTATGTTTTGTATGTGTGCCTTTATACTAGAAGAGGACACACACAAAACACTCTAAGGACTGTAGCATTTAACGCGCTGCGCTGACAGTGCAACGTGATGCTCAAGAAGGTGTTTCCAACGCTTTGCTACGACGGCACGGTGGTGGCACCTGCCCGTCACTTTGCGTTCTACACCTTATCACCTCCGAGGCTGGCGCGCATCTTTCTCCGCGGGCTGCACGCCTTCGTTTTCCAAGATAACTGCCAGATGGCGCTTGTGTCTAACGTGCCTAGATGCGCTCGTTCGCCTCCACCACACGCTCGAGGCACTCTAACGCAGCGCCTGCAGAATACTATTCACCGATTTTCTTGCGCAGGACATAAATAAACGTTTCGTTCACTCTCTCCAGACGCAAGACTATCGTCTTTCGACGACATTTACAGTGTAACATGTATATTCGGGCCAATTTTTCTCTGTCTCTCTCTATATAACGTTTTAGCCAGAATGTTACGTTTACTTTACTACAGACTAACGATATTACTATAGGCCGGGAGCGTGTGCAGTTGCATTGAAAAAGGCACGAGACATTGGCCTCTCAAAGCTAGCTTGCCTTACATGAAAAATGCTTCAACTGCGTACTTACACGTTCGTTTGCTGTCGATAAAAACATAGTACCAGTAATGTCATTCTTCTAACGTAACCAACTCCCCACTCTGAATTTCGTCCTCTTCCATTCCCGATTTGTGTGGAACAGTGACTAATTTCACGCCTTTATCTCATTAGCTCGCTCATTTTCAGCGATTTGATACCACCAGGTACTGTGCCTATGGACTTTCGAAATAAAAAAAAATGTAATAGTACTGGATAATGTTCGCTAAATAATGACTTATGCCTGCTAGTCTTCGGTGAATTATGACTTACGTTGGGCCAATGGAAGTTGCCTATAGTATACTGGATAAGTGAATGCAAGCGTTCGCTAATGTTGGGTAATGCTCGCTGACGCAGGGTGCACCACTATCACCACATCAGGCACAAGATCCACAACATCCATCACGTGCACAAGGTTTACGTTCCAGTCCACCACCACACCAAGACGGTGCATCATCACAAGCACTACCTGCACCACCACGGCCATGATCACGGTCCCTACGGCCACGGCCACCACCACTACGGCCACGGCCACGGCCACAAGCACTATCACCATGACAACGGTCACTATGGCCACGGGCACGACGACTACGGTGGTTACGGAGGCCACAAGGTTTCTTACGGGATTCATAAGCATGGTGATTACCGTTGGTACCGCAGGTAATAGCCTCAGCCGTGTGCGCACAGAAGTGCACAGCTCCGCAGTAATGAATTATCCCGAGTTATTCATTTATGATTTATTCATTGAAACAACGAAGAAATTTTTACCTTCACGCGGTCAACAAATCTGGGAACCATTTGGTCAATAACTTGAGTTACTAAAAGAGACTAATCTTTTTCGTCTCATGGTCCCGCTTCGCTAAACTGACAGTATATAATTCGGCCGTTTTGACAGATGTATTTAGTTTCCTTGTGTACAGAAGGATAAACAGAATATACAGCTTTTTTATGTGTAGGTTCTCGATAATTGTACTTATACTCAGTGTTTGCATTGAGAAGCATTTAAACAATGACATTCTTGGCGTTGGCACATACTTCTGTTGTCATTGCGCAGTGTACATAATATTTTCTTACTGAACAGAGGTGTATGGGATTACTGGCTGGGTTTATTTGTGTGTTTACTCCATTTATAGTTCTTCGCTTGTATGTTTAGCATGTTTCTTCGTCTGTGTGCGAGCGTGCTTTAATGGCGAAACTGACAGCATCAGTTTTTAATGCTTTTGTGAGCCTCTTATATTTATTTAGCCATTTCGTCCTATTGCGCCGAGTGGTGTTGTGTTCAGTGGTGCTATTGTGACGAGTGGTACTATTGTGCCGACTGGTATTGTGCCAAGTGGTACTAATGTACCGAGTGTGCCGCATGGGAAATGCGAAGAGACGACGAAGAGAAATTATGAAGAGAGGGCAACGTGTGCCGAAGAGCGCGCCCTCGTCTGTTGACTTGACATCAGGACTCATCCTAATGACTGAGAACATCCCTCAAATCTTTCTGACTTGCCAAATGAATTTTCGACACACAATACAGCAAGATACATTATCAGTATTTGTAGCTTAAGTGCTCCTGCCCGATATTGTATTTTAGATAACCCCGGTAATCACTCGTCCCACAAGTATGCCGTCTATCTGTAGTCACAAGTGCATGCCATAATGCCGATACTGCAGTGGTGTGTGACAATTGTCCGAGGTAACATCAGCCTATCATATGCTTTTAACTCAACAGAGCACGCCCAGTCGATAGAAAAATTCGAGCGGCGTGCCAAAGCTTTGTCAGGGTTATTGTAGTTGACTGTCAATGTTCATGGCTGTTGCCTGTTGTCGTTGTCCACTGTCGGTGTCAAATGTCGATGTCCATTTTTCATTGTCGATGTTCAGGGTGTGTCGATGGTTTTTGTTGCCCTATTCTCATGTTAAGACAAGTGTGTGCTTGAGCTTAACCCCATGGTTATTTGTTTTACTTGTGACGTTGCACTTTTTTGTTGGTAGCTCATTAAACGCATGTGCTTGTTTCAAAAACACAGTGATGTTGACTTACCGCGAAAAAAAAAAAGAAACAGTGTTGCCACACAAAACTCGCAAGTCGAATAGGACTTCTGACCTTCAGTTCCACAACAATATGGAGCTTTCACGCCCCTCGCGCACATAGGAAAACAAGTTAAATTTTTACGTAATTACAAATCTGTTTGATGATTTATAGAGTATTACCTTATCTTCTTTGACAACAAATTGAGGCCGGCTGTTCTTGCAATGACTGATTTGGTCACAATTTCTCAACGCAAGCGAGAAATGTGCATTTTTACAGTATCTATGCCAGTAATATAACAATAATATTTTCTGGTCATAACTTCTTAAAATTAACATATGATTACGAGAGACGCCACAGTGTAGGACACCGCAAATTTCTACCTCGTGGGATTCTTTAACGTGCACCTAAATCTAAGCACATGGGCCTTCAGCATTTTCGCCTCCGCTGAAAATGCGGCCGCCATGGCTGGGGTATCTATGTCAATCAATATTTACTTCGCATTTCAAAAAAATTTTGATTTCTCATTCAACGTGATGCCGTGTATTCTCTGGTCTTCTGACCGCACACTCATTTTTCTGAACTTTAGCGTAACGTTCAACGTAAGCGTAACATTTATCTGACACTTGCACTCATATCTGGATGAGCACCAGATCCTGAAACAGGATCTGGCGCTCATCCTGTTTATGTGTTACTTCTGTGTGCCTCCCTGGTTTTCCGTTTTGCGCTACAAATGTGAATGCAAGTGAACGAAACTAACTAGCCCGCATTGCCGCCTTGACTGCTCATCTGACGTAACACCATGTTTTCATTCCAATTACCCAGCTGATAATAAAGCTGAACAGGCGGAGCCCGTATAATTGTTTATATTACTGCAGAAATCCGTCCGTCCATCCGTCCGTCATATCTATCTATCTATCTATCTATCTATCTATCTATCTATCTATCTATCTATCTATCTATCTATCTATCTATCTATCTATCTATCTATCTATCTATCTATCTATCTATCTATCTATCTATCTATCTATCTATCTATCTGTCTGTCTATCTGTCTATCTGTCTGTCTGTCTGTCTGTCTGTCTGTCTGTCTGTCTGTCTGTCTGTCTGTCTGTCTGTCCGTCTGTCCGTCTGCCCATCCACCTGTCCATCCGTTTATATGTCCGTCCGCCTATCTATCTATCTATCTATCTATCTATCTATCTATCTATCTATCTATCTATCTATCTATCTATCTATCTATCTATCTATCTATCTATCTATCTATCTATCTATCTATCTATCTATCTATCTATCTATCTATCTATCTATCTGTCTGTCTGTCTGTCTGTCTGTCTGTCTGTCTGTCTGTCTGTCTGTCTGTCTGTCTGTCTGTCTGTCTGTCTGTCTGTCTGTCTGTCTGTCTGTCTGTCTGTCTGTCTGTCTGTCTGTCTGTCTGTCTGTCTGTCTGTCTGTCTGTCTGTCTGTCTGTCTGTCTATCTATCTATCTATCTATCTATCTATCTATCTATCTATCTATCTATCTATCTATCTATCTATCTATCTATCTATCTATCTATCTATCTATCTATCTATCTATCTATCTATCTATCTATCTATCTATCTATCTATCTATCTATCTATCTATCTATCTATCTATCTATCTATCTATCTATCTATCTATCTATCTATCTATCTATCTATCTATCTATCTATCTATCTATCTATCTATCTATCTATCTATCTATCTATCTATCTATCTATCTATCTATCTATCTATCTATCTATCTATCTATCTATCTATCTATCTATCTATCTATCTATCTATCTATCTATCTATCTATGCAAACAAATAGACGTCCATTTTATGTGGTCGTGATGGTATAAAATTTATTTTATTACCGTGAAGCTGTTTAATCTATAGCTGTTTTTGTGTGGGCGGCTTATTAGGAAGCTATTATACTCATAAACGGGTATGTGCCACAGAAATTGAGTAAGTCCCCATATTCACTACTGTTCCACTAAAAACGAAGGAGGCATCAGCGGGCCCAACAAATGGCTGCATGCGAAGCGATGGAGGCGAACCGGAGACACCGAGTACGCACATCTATAGAGGACACTCTCTAGGAACAGAAGAGGCAACGGTGGTCGCGTGAAGACCTAGAAGCGACGGAAGACTTACTAAGTGCCCGTAGATTTATGAGACGCGCGAACGCTTGGTTTCAACGCGAGTTTCTGTATCCGGAATTTCGACCTCCGTGTCGTGTCTGCGACTGTCTGTGCATTAACTACTAACCTCACTGCGCGGAGAATGAACGTACAAGTTGCTTCAGCCTCACCTAATTAAGTGAGCAACAACTAGACGCAACATCGAAACAACCTGCATCACATCGCATTAGGCCAATCCCAGAAGCAACCAGACTAGTCTTAAGAATCGTCCAGTTTCACTGTTTCAAGGCTTGCATGGCTTTGTGCAAGCTTCGGCCATTTTCATTTCTTTGATTTACTTCGTTTCAGACATATAGCGCATCCTAACGGTGATTTTAGCAAAAAAAAAAAAAAAGCTGCAAGGGCACACATACAATATTGACATACGCAGGTGGGAAATAGTTGAACACTGCACAAATAAGAAAACGTAGCAATCCAGAAAGATTGGACGTACAATAATTTAACACTCATGGTATTATAAAAAAAAAAGGTATAAAGAATGAATTATGAAGAACGCGTTGTGATACGAAAGTAACAAAAATATTTTTCTCAGAAATAATACTCACGATACGATTAAATAAGTCGTTACGTGATGTAATGAAAGTTCATTTTAATTCACTTACACAAATAAATGGGATCTGAATTCCCGAAACGAAGAGAATCAGCTCCGCTAAGCGAACAACAGAAAGATAAAATGAGATACTCACCAAGTACTCTATGCACTCGCTAAGACGACATGAAATTGAAAGTAATCCGGTGGGGCTAACGTAGAGGAGCGGCCTCAGAGCGAGTTGTAAGCTTCCTGATTGCAGCTATACTGAAAGTACAGTTCTGAAATACTTTAAGCTTTATTCTTTTTTTTTTTTGAAGTAGCCAAGTACGCGACTGGAAGGCAATCTGTGCATGTACTTAGCTGCACACTGTATTGTGGCTGTGGGCTGATGATGATTAGAAACTGAACCCTTTGCAATGGTTGTTAAACCTCCCACTCATTACGCAATTGATGTAATGTGACTCCTGTAGCGGTTGCACTCTTCTATTCCACGCAACATCACGTCTACTAACGTGACCACTCGATCTATATGACACGTATTTTCGAACAAGCTTCAAGCGATTGTGTGGTACTGTGGTGCAGCGCTTGCCTTCCACTTAGAGTGCCTGGATTAAATCCTGACACGAACTCTTATTTTCTGCTTTTACGTGAGGTGGCGTGAGTATTTCTACCAAACGTCACGCTTTTAAGGTCAGTGCATGATGAGGCTCCAAAGGCTTCCGCCTTAAAAAAGGTCATCTTCTTCATTGCACGGAGAAGACGACACACCAACACGCGAGAAGTTTACTCTGACTATAGTGCAACTCAGTCCACTCTGAGCGCAGCCCGTAGTAGCAATAGTATAGAAACATTCTATGGTGCGCGCGGTGATTTTGCTGCGATGAAAGCAGCCGACGGAAAGCTG